GAGAGAGAGAGAGAGAGAGAGAGAGAGAGAGAGAGAGAGAGAGAGAGAGAGAGAGAGAGAGAGACTCCAATGAAACAGTAACGGGAGTTAAAGAAGAATGACAAAAAAGAATGGTTTCAGTGAGCTCTTCAAGTTTGTCCCGTGTATTTTGATTGTTTGTTTTGCAAAGTGCGCTCTTTTGTTCATCGATATTTGACAATATATAGGGAAGAGGCTGCACTTACCTGGGTCCTTGATCTGTGCCCGCTAATTCAGAAAGATTAACGGACAGGATTCAGTAATCTGGGTAAGTACTAAGTGGGATGTTACTCCAGGTTTATCGGTCACAAGGGTTGCCTTGAACGCTTATCCATCACCGTGTGCCCCCGAGCACAACGCATTCCTCCCGATCATGATCTCCATCACCGTGTGCCCCCGAACACAACGCATTCCTCCCGATCATGAATGTATACAAGCTATATTTGTGGTCCAGTACAGTCATGGTGAGGGCGCGTTGTGTCCAGCAAAAGAAGATGGTAGTATACCTGCAATGTCTCCCAGTAACGCTTCCCCTGCTAGCTGAGGTCAGCACGGAAGGCAATTGCACTGCTAGCTGAGATCAGCACGGAAGGCAATTGCACTGATACGGGAAGCAATAGCAACAGACCTGACAGTCTGACACGGAAAGTCTGCCACCAGCTGCAGCACCAATACAAGCACCAGTCCTGCACTACCGTCTTCGCCTGAAATAGAAGCTATGGTCATTATGCCTGTATTTGGGGCAACTTTCAGTCTAGATACAGCAATAATGACCATATGTTCAATTCTTGGGACTACCGGAGCACTGGTATCAGCTGATGCCTCGATGATAGCAGCAGCAGTCTATGCAATAGCAGCAGCAGCCCTGGACAATAGGAACAGCAGTCCAGACGATAGCAGCGGCAGCCCTGGACAGCAGAACATCAGACCAGACGATAGCAGTAGCAGTTGGCACGATAGCGGCAGCAGTCCGGGAGGGTAGCAGCAGCAGTCCGGCACGATAGCAGCAACAGTCAGGCACAATAGCAGCAACAGTCAGGCACGGTAGCAGCGACGACCTGTACAATCGAGAAAGGCAGCAGAGTGGATAGCAGCAGTGATAACAACACTGGCAAAGTAGAAACGACAGGGAGAAAGTGTCTACAGTTGTTCCCAGAAGAGAAAGTGAGGACATGCAGGAGAAGAGAAGAAAAGAGGAGGAAGAGATGGGGAAGGGAAGGGAAGGGCAGAGGTGGGGGCAGGGGAGAGGGGGTGGAGGGTGAAGGGAGGGGGGGGGGGGCAAGGAGGTTGAAGTAAAATATGAAGACGAACCTTGCAATTTCAGTTCTCTGACAGTGGCAGCATTCCGCAGGCCGTCTGCCTGCGCCAGCAACTCTGCAGGAAACCGGAAGTATGCATATTAGAACTTGCAATTCTTTCTTTCTGGAGTGAAACCTAGCCATCAGATTTCAAATCATTTGATGCTTGGTACAACCACAATAAATTTCACGATAATCCTAATCTACGTGGCACGGCATGCATAACATGGCTGTAGCTGCTGATCATAAATTATAGTCATTTAGATACTAGATAATAACTGGCAACCAATTGCCCTGGTGTTTGTATTTACTATTCAATATTTAATATTTAATATTTATACTTTGGGAAAACAATAATCGAATCGTATGCTCTGTGCAATCAAGTTTACTCAGATCTCATCTTCGCAAAAGAGGAGAAGGGGGGGGGGGGTTGGAATAGGGGCCAAACTTGCCATGCTAATCTTTACGTCCTTGCTATTCAGCAGACAGGCAAGGACAAAATACAGCGGGGCATGCCCCGAAGTCGTGCGTGAGTCTTAAGTCCTTATCATTCAACGGACGAAGGCAAGGACAAAATGCAGCAGGGCATGCCCCGAAGTCGTGCGTCAGTCTTGCAGAATGATATAGAAGGCAGTGGGGCAAGTTAGAACCTTCAGAGGGCCAGGCCTTCTCTCTCTTTTTCAAGTTAATTAGCCCCTTGAACCACCAGTACTTGGCCCAGCTATACGGTGGGAACAAATAGAGTAGAAACGTTTCTCGTAGGATGAATTTGGGCGCTCCTGTAGTGACCCGTACATATCCAAAAATCGTGGCTTGTTTAACAGGCTTGACTTTAGGCAGTACTGGTGGTTCAAAGAGTCGGTCTCTACCAGATAACAAACACAGCTGCAATTGCTGAGCAATGAACACTTCAGCGCAGTGCTGCAAACGTGTCGGTGGCTGCACATAAATGGCCAGCTAAGTATATAGAGGGGTCTTCTCTCTTATTTTTCGTTAGTTAGGGTGCAGTAGCTGGCCAGCAAATCATGCTCAGATTTCAGTGCCTGCGTCCAAAGGTGGCCAGATTCCGGGGAAGAGCCCACACAGATTGCTTGTGGGAGGGGTCTAGAGCGATGTCATGAAGTTTGGGTGGGTAGATGAGATGAGATGAGATGGCTGGTACCACCTCCCCTAGCAGCCTTTCCTGTTTTCAAAAAAAAAAAAAAAAAAAAAAAAAAAAAACATGAGATGGGATCGGA